AAGGACTTCTCGATACACTCTCTGCACGGAAGATGGCGATTGAGAGGAATACTGACACAGCAAAGATCTGTGGGTGGGATTGAGCCTTTTGAGCCTCAAACCCTGATAGATCAGGCATGCCTGAGAAGCTCAGACATCCTGCCAGCAAAACCTAGCTCTTGCGACGACCGCCATTTCCCCATCGGGGTCCCATCGATGGCAACGCCAAGGCGCGAGACATCCTCGGTCAGCTCCACACTCTGCACGGTGTGCGCCTCAAGCTCTTTCTGGACCGCCAGGACCTGCGGAACGGATACATGGGTCTGTCCTTCTTTGGGCCCCCCAAAATGGTGGGTTTCCTTTGGTCTCCCTTTAAAACCCCTGCAAAAGGGTACCCTCAGAAAAAGACACATGCTAGGTCCTCCAGATTTGAGAGGTGCTCGAATAAGGGTACCAACTTGTTTTTCTTCTGTAGTCTATTTTTGTAGGGGAACCCTCCCAACCAAAAAAGGGGAGAGGAAGGGCACTACTGGGGGACCTAGGATAGGGTAATTCAATTCATGCTATGGCTGAAGGGGGTGGAAGGCCATCGAAAGATCTTCACAAGCCCTTTGATACTTTGGAAGGACCTTGCAGCTGTAAAGTGGTTGATTTCAGAATTCACGGGATGTCAGCCATGTCGGTCCATCCATAGTATGCGCAAGGTAGATCATGCACATGATGTTTGAGACCGGGAAAGTATCTGGAGCGATGGCAAACTGCAACGTAAATACCTCTATCCGCTTGTCTGATTTACACTTCTACCTACTCGCGTGTTGTTAGTTTGGTTGTCTCACATGTTTCACCCATATGAAACTATTGTGATTTCATATCTGTATAGTTCATGTGTCATACTCTCCTCCAATTGAGAGGAGCCTTGTGCGTGGGCACGGAGTCTCCAACATGAAGCAGAGGCGACTTCAACAAGTTCAAGTCTGAGTGCCAAGAAGGGCCTGCAAGACATGCTCAGGGCGCAAACCAACAATTCGTTGAGGCAGCTGCGCTTGAGAAGATGGAGTTGAGTCCTACGCAGCAGGCACTATATTTTAGATGAAATATTATTAGATGAAATATAAAAAAAAGGTGTTCAATCCGTAATCATCTGTATTGCTGAAAATACAATGTATTTTAGGATATGCAGTGTTGCCACTGTGGGAAGCATCTCTTTCTGCGGCACGCAGCAACCTCAGCGCACAAATGAACCGAACATGAGTGGCCATAGAAATGGGGAACCCTTCTTTTGGGCTTTCATACCTTGGGGAGCCAATAAACTTTACTTGCTGGTTATAGGGAATGAACAACAAGGGGTCCTCTCAAACGAAATCCGCCAGTTGGATAGTTTCGTTCGGGACCATTCCCATGGCTCATTCCCTGAGAACACCAGCAAGTTTTTTGGGGGATCTTCTTCAAGGGGACCAAAAAGCGCCGACTGACTCCGACTCGATCAAGTCAGCTAGGTGCTCCAGTAGAGAGGCTAGAATAATTGTGGTACCAACTTTTTTTCGTTTTTGTCTACTTTACTAGGGGAACCCTCCGCCCCGGAAAAGGGGTATCGGTATATACAAGGTTTGTGTTTTCTGTAGTCTACTTTAGGGGAACCCAAAACCCTAAAAAAGGTTGGGCGAGAGGTCGGGCACCTCGGGGGACCAAGGATCGAGCTCCCGAGCCGGGTCCCCGGGCGGACTTGTCCTGCTGGCTCTGCAGGCTCCGCGCCGTGTTCGACAGCGTGGCCGCCTTCAGCAGGAGCTGCTGCACCTCTTGGGCGGCGGCAAACCACATTTTGTCGGCGGACTCCAATTTTCGAAGCCATCCACAGACGGGTTTCCCTGGTCCATGGAATCAAACCCGTCTAAACCAGCGCACAGTCTATGAACATGATGTGGGTCACAATCAAAACCCGGGCATTAAAATGGTCCTAAGCCCAGAACCATGCTTCAAGAATTAAGAAGGCGGACATCCGCAGCTATTTATGGCTGGGATTCTCCCTTAACCTTCATCTGCTCGGCTTTTGATTGTGACTCACTTCATTTGGCAGATAAGAGGGCGAAGCAGAACGGAACAAATTGGCTTCCGGATCCTGTGGATGGACGAAATCCATTTCGCAGCGCCTAGCAAACCCCAAAAGGATGGTTTCCCTGTAAATGCCAACGAACAACGGTTTTTTTCTCATGGTTTGCTAGGTGCTGCGAAATGGATTTCGTCCATCCACAGTATCTTTCTTCCTGACATCCACTTGGGACTTGGGAGACAAATTTGGCCAAACCCAAGTCAGAACTTGGAGCTCCGGGGCGGACATCTGGGGATCCGATCTGAGCACCTCCCGAAGAAAAAAAAACACAAAAAAACGCCAAACAAAAAGAGAAAAAACAAAACGAAGAAGAAGAAAAAAAGGAAAAACAACGCCAAGAGTATGTTGCCCGACCAAAGCGACCACCCAACCCGGGGGTTCCGGGATGCCCATTTCGAATTGATATCCTCAAGATCCCCTGATGATTTTGAGACGATTTTCCTTTCGACTCCTCTCGGAACGCAAAACAACAGTAAGTGACTCCCGTCATTTCCTTGAAATGCACAAGCCATGGTCCAAAAACACCTGCTGTGCCCGTGCTGGGTATGGTGAAACTCAGTGACTAGCACGTACGCGTACGGAAACGGAACCCCACATTGATCCTTCTATACTCCGACCATGCCCACCCCCCTTGACTTTGAGCGAATCTTCGAGTCACAGAAGCCAGGCCATGCTCATAGCCCGGCACCTTCAGAGTCGCCTCCTCTTGCGCCGCACGTTCCTGCTCGTTCACCTGGCTTCAAGGGGTCCTTAAGGTGCAGGGGCTCTTGGAAAAGACAGAGGGGTTATTTGGGGGCTGCTCAAATACCTCCATTGCTTAAGTCCCCTGGCAAAAGTAAAAAAACTGTTTCCAGTGGTCCAGTGGTGATAGATTCCCTTTAAAACCACCAGGGGAAAACAACAACCAATGGAAGAATAGGGTGTACGCTTAGGGCCTGTTCCCACCCGGGTCACCGCAACCGCGATGTAGAATGACTCAAGGCTGCTCGCTCAACGCTCGCTCTGCCAGTGGCCCGTTTTCGCAGCCCGATGATGGCGAAGAAATCCCCATGTCTTCTCGGGGTTGAGATGGGTTGACCAAGTTTTGCAAGGAACCCACACAACAAACTTGGAAAATGGGTTCCTGGACCAACTACCCTCGCAAAATCGGACTTGGCGCCATGTTCAACCTTCTCAGGGAAGGCTCGTAGCTTGAGCGGGATCTTACGAGTAACCCGCCAAAGGAGCTTCAAGCTTTCAATCTTCCAATCCTGCAAGTACACCGCGACTTTTCTCATCCACATTGTCTAGGTCCTCCAGCAGAGAGGTTAGAATAAGGGAACCAACGTTTTTCTGTAGTGGATTTTAGTAGGGGAACCCTCCTTTAAAAAGGGTGAGAGAAGGGCACTACCGGGGCACCTGGTTGTGATGCAACACATCTTTCATTGAACAAAACTGCCTGGCGCTGTGGCCACAACGTCTGCCTCCTTGCTGGCGGGGACATCCGCGCTGAATGTCCGGCTGTTCACCGACACCTTGCTCTCCTGCGGCGCATGCACCTCGCGAGCGGGGGACAGGTGCCCTGCAATTCCGACACAAAACATGACCGTCGCCAACCGCCAAGAGGGCCTCAGGTGCGAAGCCTTGGTGTCTTCCTCCACTCCCAGTTGCCAAGTGGCGCCCTTTTTTCACTTTGTTGGGGAAGGGTTCCCTTTAAACTCAAGCAACCCAAGAATTCGGATGCTGATCCTTTTGTTCCCAACCAGCCTGTGCGGGCACGGGCACATTCGGCAGCATCGGCTGGTCGTCGTCGAGTTCTTCCCTGGGACTGCCCGGCAGGTAAGAGGATTTCTTGCCTTGCGCACCCAAGAAATTCTGGCCTGCCCTCAGATCCCCCACTGAAAAGCTAAAAGGCTAAGGCAATGGCTGGGAGCCACCAAGAATTGGGTGACCCGTTGGAAGGGTGAAACTTTCGGATGGTACACGGTTCTCCTGCGCAAGCCGGAGCCCGTTGATCTGATTCTTGGTGGGCTCCCCCCTGAAAGAAGACTCAAAGCCGCGCACGCCATCCCACACCCATTTTGGGGTCCGCTGCTTCTGAACAGATCCTTCCCTTTTGTGGTGGATTGCAACCCCTGTCTGCAAGAAGGATCAAAGCCCAAACCATCACAAGCTCGATCCCTCGATCTCTCGTGCTATTCCGCTCATCTCCCCCAGTGCTTTCCGTAGTCCTGCACCCAGTTCTATCCAGGCCCTCATTGGAAACCTCAAGCATCGGTTTACCGGCGCACCTCTGGCAAAGGCTCGCCCCCCTAGACAAGAAACCCACCGGAGTCTCCAACTAACCGAATCAAAGCCTGGTATTAAAATGGTCTACCCCAATCACAATCATGTAAAGACATTGGCGGCCCATTTATGGTTGGGACTGCCCCCGACTAGCCTCTAATTACCCGGTTTTCGATTGTGGCTCATGCCAGTTAGCAAAGCCTAACCCTAGCACGCTGACTGTTTGACCATTTGCAAGCGCCGCGGAGACGCCATCTGGTGTCTTAAAATAAGGCACCCAGCAAATGGTTGGTTCCTTGTGGCTTGCCTGTGATACTTCAAAAAGGGATACCCCCAAAACAAGGCTACCCATGGTATTAAGGCCGGCCCCACCGCATGCAAACTAACACGGTGGAGGTCCAAGGCGCATTTGGGATGCGTGGATGAACTCCTTCATCTCCTCAAAAAAATGCGAAACAAATCTCAGAACGGGCCCTTTGGATTGAAGGGGAAACCATCAGGAAGCCCTCCTGCGAGCTGCTCGCCCCATGTTTTGCTGGTTCCACCAATGGTCATGTTGGGCTCTGCTCAGCTGCGGGTCGAACATAGCGCCGCCGGAGGCGACCGTTTTGACTCCCAGCGTCGATCGCGGATTCAACCTGGTGTATTC